TTTTTTTTTTTTTTTTTTTAGTTACTGTCACCATAATAGTACTTGTCTTACAGCTACCCTTTCTTCAGTCACCCTGACACATCTTGTTTTATAGTCATGTTTTTAAAAAGAAAACACCCAGGTTGAAAAGGTATAAAAATATAACGTCTGAAATCAACAGTGACTTTCAGGAACCTTAAAATCAGCATGGAAAAACAGTAAAATCATACATGTAGATCTGTAATCCTCAGAGATTAAAACAGTTTTCAGAATAATCGCATAGTGTCTTCTGTCTCCTGGAATAAGTAGTGTTCATACAGTCAGACTCCTGGAGGCGAGCTGTGGAGAACCAACCTCTTTGTGACGGATTAATTGATATCAGATCGGGTTTGAATCAGGAGAACTTTGTGAGCAGAGGTTAGAGAGTTGGGCTGTGATGGGATTTGGCCTGTAAACGTGTCAGGACGTGGATGTGTGAAATTGCCTGGAGTGCGATGAAATCAGGAATAAAATGAAGCTGACAGACTCATTTGCCTCCCTGTAATAAATCCTTGCCTTTCCCACCATGTCTGCGGTAAAGAAACATCCACTTACTTGTTCTTTCTCCATCCGTTCAGCAATTTCCTGATCAGATTGTAGGATTTGTCCCCAGAAAGCATGTTTCCACCCCATCGGGCGTCTACAGCTACGGAGGCTTCGAGCTGCAGGCACCGGGGCCGGGGGCCGGTGACCAGTACTCCATGGTGCTGATCGGAGCCTCCTTCCTCAGTGGCAAGTACCTCGACCTCTTCCAGAGGCAGCCCGCAGCTGTCCACGCCCTGGTGGACGACACGCAGAACTGCGACGACATCGCCATGAACTTTCTCGTTGCCAAGCACACCGGGAAGACTTCAGGGGTGTTTGTGAAACCTGTAAACATGGGCAACTTGGAAAAGGAGACCAATGGAGGCCACTCAGGAATGTGGCACCGAGCGGAGCACTTCCTGCAGAGGTCTTACTGCGTCAACAAGCTGGTTAATATCCATGGTGGCATGCCCCTCAGGTACTCCAACATCATGGTCTCTCAGTTCGGCTTTCCCTACGCCAACCACAAGAGCAAGATGTGAAAGCAAACAAACAGACCTCAGCGGCTTAGTGTCTGAGTAGTTTCTCCACACTGTGGTTGCTTGTTTTGTTTTTTAAGCAATATCATGAACTTTTATCCACTCCAGAAGTCTCTCCAAAGGGAAAGATGTATAGAGCTGCTAGGGAGTGAAACCCCACATGAACTTCAAAACCCAAGGGGCTGGGAAGTCTTGTGCAGAATCTTCGTCCACACGCATAACTCCTAGGTCAGCGACTTGATCATGTATATCCTGAGACAGCCCTTCTGTTTCTTTGATGCCTGGCATTTGCCTTAAGGACCCATTCCAAGCTGTTCCTAGGACCAGAAACTCCAGAGAAGCGTTTCTCAGAATTTGCATTAAAGGACTGTCGCTTGCATTTGAAGCCTGAGATGCCTCTTTAGCAAAAGCCAGTGGTGTAGGGAAAAGCCATGAGGAGAGACTCGTCTCACTCCCGCATCAAACCAGTGGAACAGTCTTAACTCAGTGCTTTACCTTCCCCTGTGGTCCTCCCAGCAGCCTCTCCAGCACTGACTCAGCCCCATTCAGCTTTGGGGCAGCCATCGTGCTCTTTCTGTCGAATCTGTGTGACCTCGAGGGTTATGTAGTAGCTGAGGGATGTCTTGTGTTCTGCTCAGTTTTCGTGAATGTTTACTGCATGGATCATGGGAGAGTGCAGTCAGTGTTTTTATATGCAGCTAACAGGCAGCAAGGAGTCGATGTTCTACCCGGTTCAGGTAGTGCGTTTGTGTCACTGAACCTGACCTTGAGATTGTAGATGGATTCTTGTATTTTACTAAAGTGTGTGTTGTTCCAGAAATGTGTATGAAGTGACTCTCCTGGAAGAATGTCGAGTAGAAACTGGCAGAAGTCAAAACTCTTAGTATCAAAAGATCTTTACTGTTGGGGCTTAGGGTAGCGCATGGATACTAAAGGGTCATGTGTGTTACACACAAACTGAGCCTCTTGCCTTCAAACTTTTTTTCCCCAAAAAAGATGTAAGACACTATTTGGCATTACGAAATTTTGATTATACAGGTACAGGAAAAAATAAAGGATTTGAGCCGTGGCAGAGGAATTCTATGGGGAGTCTGCCCAGGCTGGTGTTACGTTGCCCTCTCTCTATTGTATGAACTAGTCCTGTGTCCACAGCGCCTGGTCCTTGTGCACTGCTGGCAGCGAGGAACACACGTCAGCCTCTGCCTTCCCCCTTCTCCCTCCCCCCCTTCCTCTTCCCATAAAGCCATTATAGTCCCACAATCCAAAGCTGTGAAAATATAACAGTCCTGGTTCGTGTTCCAACAATGAGCTCTTTGTGTAGTTAGTTTGGTACACATTGCTCTTTTGCATTGATTGTGTGTGTGTGTGTGTGTGTGTGTGTGTGTGTGTGTCTTAATGCAATCAGGTAAAGCCAATGAAACATGGAACCTCACAAGAATCTGTAATGTTAATTATCTGCTTTGTCCAAACTCGGTAGTGATTTTTTTTGCCTCTTGGGATTGCACTGTCAAATAAATAAAATGAACTTTCACCATTCGGGTGTTCTGTGTTAATTAAGCAGGCTCCTGCTTTTGTTTTTGCGCATTTCTAAATAGTGTTGTAGTATATCACTCAGGGGAGGCTGGCCAGGCATTTGCCACATTCCCCAGGGGGTAAGTATTCCCAGATCCTGTTTTCTGTGTTCTTAAACTGGTCTTAAGCATCGCATAAGTTAATTACAGCATGTTTTTCGGACATTATATAGCAAATGTGAAGACAAAGTGAAGGATAGTCTGTTACAAAGACCCTGGCACTGTAGCTAGAATTCTGGAACTGTCTCCCTGCACACCTCTTGTTAAGCTCTGACCTAAAACTGCACAAAGGAGGAATGTTGCTGAGGGGTGCGTGTTCCAGGAGAGACTTGGACCCAGATCTTCTCTAGATCTCATTTCCTGAACCTCTTGGAGCCTCAATTTCCCCATCTGCCAAAATGAGAATCATATCTACCCAGGGGGTGGTTTTGAGGAATAAAGGAAACATCGTGTGTAAATACAGCACAATGCCTTGCCCGTTAAAATGGTCAATAAATGAGCATTTATGGTTGGGCTGTGTTGTTGATAGTAATTGCAGTTAATTGTACAATTCACCACCTAGGCATTAGAAAAGCTCCTGGACCCACCAGGCTACATATTCCGGAAGTTGTTTCTACGTAACAGTGGGCAGAGAACCATGGCAATTTTCATTTTATTTCTTTCAAACACCCTTTTCTTTTTAAAACATGACAACATACGTACTCCAATTTCGGCATCTTCAGAACAGCATGAAGAAGAAATTAAGGCCCAAACCACATTAATGGCAAACATTTCTGCCTATTCTTCTCGACTTTTAAAGGCACATTTTAAAAGCGTGATTTATTTGGTATTTCATTGGCTAGATAAACCATCATCTATATAATAAACTATCTTACATTTTATTTGATAATTTTTTACTAATATAACGACATTTGGGTAGGTGTCCTTGCCTGCACAGATGTCTTTGAGCCCATCTGTAATAATTTCTTTAAAATCCAGCCTAAGATGGTCAATGCCCGAATCCATCTGGCAGGGTGCATGTTTTAGAGTTTTTAATACGTGCTGCTATAGGCTTCTAGAAGCGTTGCCATAGCTACACTGTTGCCACATCTGAGGGCACCTGTTTCCCATCAGACTTGCCAATATCGTATAGCACGGAACATTTTCTTTCTTTTTCCACGAACAAAATACTCAAATGGTGCAGGATTTGGAAGGATCTGGGCTATATTAAGAACTCTGTGTTAAGAAAGCTGAAAAGACAATCAACTTTCAAATAAAAGGTTAGACAGAGAAGCTTCTAGAAGATTTAAAGTGCTTCTAGAATCTGCTCCCAGACTCGAGTGTAGGCAGTGAATTGCTGACCATTTGCTGGTCCCGGAATGAGAGACTTGAAAGTCACACAAAAATGCTCACGTGTTCCTTTTGCAAGGAACCAAGATCAGGAGTGGATGTGTGTGTGCATGCATGTATTCCCATGCGTGCACCTGCATGCACGTCTGTGCCAGCAGGGAGGGGAGGAGGTAAAGGCAGCGATGGAGGAGATTACGAAGGTGCCAATCACTGGATGTTGGGGTTTAAATGGTGAGATTGGCTCATCCGCTACCCCATGCTATTTCATAAACCAGCTTTATTGTCCTGCTAGGGTTCTCCCAACTTCCCCCCCTCCCTTTCTCTCTCTCTACTTCTCTCTACCTCTGTCTCCTTCCCTTCCTCTTTTTTTCTTTCATGAAGACTCTCAATACAAAACCCAAATATTTTCAAAAATACTCTTATTGTGGACAGAATGCAAAGAACATTTGGTACATTGGACACTTGCACTGAGTCCTGGCTCTGCATGATTTCTCATCTGCTGCATCCATTGGTTGCCTCTTGTACGTGCCCTAACTGGAGATCAAACCTAAGCCTTGGTGTATCGGGAGGATGCTTTACCCACCAAGCTACCTGGCCAGGGCTGACTTGGCACATTTTAAAGATGTGTTATACCTCTTGACAAGAAAAAAATAACCCCCTAGAGTTTAGCTCTGTCAAGCTCACTAGGTTCCCTCCACCCTAAGCCTAATCTCCCCCAGAGTCCTTTCTCCAAGTAAATACTAATTTAATCGACATCGCTACTGTTCTACAATTTTAGGACCAAAATGCAAGATGTTGATGGGGCAACAAAGCAAAAGACGACGATGGTGTCGTTCAGTGGTAAATGCTGAGCGGAAGAGATTATGATTTAAAGGACAGTTTGCTTCTCAGCCGAGCCTCTGTTGTCACGGGCCTTCATGAAGACCCCAAAGAGAGTTGCACAGGCCCCCAGAACCACGTGGTCACACCGAACCAGGGATCAGACTTGAACAGGTACCACCAGTGATTTCTTAAAACCCAGAACACAAATACAAGGTGTGATGACTATAATATTTGATTCTATTGAAACTGGGAACAGTTTTTCTGGAATTTACTGTCCTACCAGCAGGTGTCAGTGCAACCTAATGAACTAACATTTTTAGCGGCTTGAATACCTGCCAGTAAATGGAGTGAAAATAATTTTAAAATAGCAAAGTTAAAAGCCACCTGTCAATGTTTTTTATTAAGCATACTTAAGTGGAACTATAGAAAAATATTAATCCTTCCAAAGTTTAGTCAAAATGGGCCCTCACCTAGATGTATCACAGTATTACGTAAGTTATAACTTATATGTTAACAGTTATAACCTATGTGACAACAGCATTATCAGTGACATGAAAGATACGAGCTTAAATTAAGTACAAAATGCTAATCATGGGAAAGTGTAAGAATAACAGTATTTTCATAACACACACATCACAGACACTGAAGCCAAGTGAAACTCACTTGTCTCTGGGTGACAAGTTTCAACCCCTGGAGAAACCGTTAATTCCTAATGAATCCTAAACTATCTTTAGCATGACACCATTTGTGTTTTCTAACATAACCTTTGCCTTTAGCCAAAGTTGTTCCTCGGACGGCAGTAACTGCCATGCCTGTTAGTGGGCAACACCAACGTCACCCCAGATAATCTTTGCAACAGTCCGACAGTGCAGACAGTGTACCTCCCACGTCTGAGGACTCAGTAACTGACATTCGGAGAAGGCAGGTAATTTGCCTGATGAATAAAGGTTCTCAGAAAGTCAAAGTGAAGGTCGCAGATGATCCCAAGGGTGGACTCTTCTCATGTCACAATCAGCGCCTCATTCCTCTAAAAATGCTACCTCGTGACCCGGGCTGAACTCCCTCCATTGCTTTTTTGTCATACTTGGAGTTAAAGCCCTATTTTGTACAAAAGATTTCTCCAACAATGACATGGGACACACCAGAATTAGACTAAAATAAGGGTAAAATCAAGAAATGTCTATAAAATTACTTTTTAAAAAGCGGAAGCCCATTTTTTGTAGAGCTTAAGTATGCACCTGCCATATAACCTACCATCCATGCCTGGCCATTTGCCCCAGGGATATGAAAACATGCCCACATGAAGACCTGCATGCAGTGTTCATCGAGGTCTCCATCTTTATCACCAAAAGCTGAAAACAACCCAAATCTCCACCGACAGTTAAAGGGTGAACCTGTTGCGGTTTAGCCGCATAACAGAAAGCTGTTCAGTCGTAGAAAGGAGCAAACTGCCAATACACGCAACAGCAAGGCTGAATCGCAAATCGGTAAGCCAGGCTAGGAAGGCAGGCCCAGAGGTTCCACGCCACACGATTCCACGTGCATCATGCTGTGGAAAAGGCAAAACTACAG